AAAACCACGTAAAAAATACACAAATATTGAAAATAAAACTTACCCATGCGACTATCTCGCTACGATATGTGCGTTATGAAACTGGTCGATACTATTCTTGCCAATATGACGGATACAAAATGTCGGATATGCATACGGAGGTATCCAACGACTTCCTAGTCGTTCAATTGCCGCCAAAATACCCGTTCCTCTATCGGATATCAAGCAAACTCCATCTTCACGAACGACATATTGACGTAGATTGGTCAGAAAGAAATCCCAAGCCTCTGTTGTCTCTCCCTCAACAATGGCGAATGCAATTGGGAAGATATTTCGCTCACCATCTTGAGCAACTGCCATCAAAAGTACATGCCTATATTGACCATACAACCACGTACCATCTACTTGGATCATATGTTTGCAAAATGGAAATCCTTCAATACATGCCTTGAATGCCCAAAATAGTCTATGAAATATTTTCTTCCTGGCAGAAGTTGACCTTCTTCGTCATATGCGGGCATGGTTTGAGACTTCACTATAGTTCCTGGGATAAATCGCTTCATTGCTTGTAGCAAATGTGGTAGCTCATTGTACGATGTATCCCAATCTCCATACGTCAACTTCATTGCCTTCATTTTCGCATTCCACACCTTGCCATATTTTACTTGATATCCAAATTGGCTTCGAATAGATGCAGCTAACACTGAACAAGATATCCTTGGATCCTTTTCAACCACGCCTTCACGTATTCACATATTACATCGGAGTCCAATAGTCGGTGGTCTTGTCGATGGTTTCGCAAACATGTGTGCGGACCATTGTACCTCGTGATGACCCAAACATCGTGCCTTTGATTTTTCGACACTCTGATCTTCCACTTGCACTCTGGGCCATATTTTACACACTTTGCGTATAGGGTTTTCTGGTTGGACTCTGCAACATGGACATCAACATGGCATTTGATGCAGTACTCTTTAATAGCCAGCGTAGCTTCATTTTTTCCTCTGAATTGCACCCCAACTGAAAATTCACCAGAATTATCGATGATTCAGTCATTTGGTACGGAGGTAAATGTGGCATGTCTGGGAATTCAGGTGCCCTCATTGCATCATAATCTATCTCGTACATGTGAGGAGTAGCTTCATACGGTGTCGGAACTTCATCAATTGCACCTCCACCAAAAATATTTTCGTCGCGCCCAAACGGTTAGTTCTTCATCTTGCGCTTGAATCATGAATTCTCCCCATCGATTTTCAGCGTCAATATCAACAACCAATTCCGGTATGTTTCTCGTCTCATACTCTGCTGCTATAGATGTCCCCGACTTCATTTACACTTTCCAAGTGCCATAAAACTGTTCGGGAACCTGTATGTCGGCTCCTCAAACTGACTATATAAAGCCATTTCAGATGGATTTTGAGCCACACCTCTTGATGACCCAGGAACATCACATATGTTACGCACATCAACAAATAATTCAATAACTGCTATATGGTTGACTCATGTAATCCAACCATGGTTCCAATATCATCATCTTCTTCAAGTGGAACTGCAGCATATCTGACTGGGTTAGAGCATATCATAAACCTATACCTCAAACCATCCACTGCAGCTCGAATTTTTCTTTCTATCTTAGCTTCATTTCTATAAATGTGATGTCTTTTTGAACATCATATTATTGGTTTTTCAGACTGAAAAACTACTCCGACCTCATTTTCCATAATCTGTCCATTATAATGGACAATCGTGAAAAAGTTGTTGCTCATTTTCTCTACAATAAAAAAATAAATTAATTTAGATTAAAAAATTAGATAAGATAATTTCATAAATTATTAAATATAATATAATATACTATTATATTAATGATCAAATAAAAGTTATTATTTAACTTGATTGATTGCTTACTAATAAACCTAATAATGATTTGATAATTACTATTAATCTAATGATTTGATATTTAATGATTTAATAATAATATGATTTAGTCATAATCACTATAATTATTTATTATAAATATTTAATGATTTAGATTTGATACTAATCATTTAGTAATTATTACTAATAATAATGATTAGTTTGATAATATTTTTTTTAAAAAATATCAAACAAATTTGTTAGGCAAAACTGTCGAGATAATGTTCTCAAAATAATTATTCCGCAAGATAATGCGTTGTCCGGATTATTTCATTCAATTAATTTTTACTTCTTACTAATATACACATACAATGTAAATTAAACAAAATATTTTTAAAACAACACTAAATTTTTAAACACAATATTTTTTAAAACGGAAATTATCTTGCACAATTAGTTTATATAAATCTAATATAAACTTACTAACTAACTAATTTACACATACACAACAACAAAAAAAATGGACAACAAAATAATAATTACTCACGTCTTTATGCCTTCTTCCTTTACTTTCTTTTCCTGCCTTGTTTCTTTCTTCGAATCAATCTGTACGTGGGCAAATATTGTAAAATAATGTCATGTATGTGTAAACAAAATATTTATTTAAACAACAATAGCTCCCACAAATTAATTTTATATAATCTAATATATAATACCTTAAAGTAATAAACTATTTCTTTATTAATATAACTTAGTTAAAATAACAAACTAATTAAGCACTAATTAATTTTATTATAATATAACTTCAACTTCAACGAACATAATATACGTTTAAAGACACTAACAAATTAATTAATATTTTTTATATTTAATAACTTAAACTAAGAAACTAATTAACTAATTTTTTATATATAATATATAACTTAAACTAATAAACTAATATAATATAACTTAAACTTACAAACTAATAATTTATACTAACAAACTAATTAACTAGATTTTAGTTTTAAGTTGCACCCGAAACTAACAAACTAATAATTTCATATAATAAACTAAATTAAACATAAAAAAATTACCTCAACTATGTTTGAGCCTTTATCTTCTTTTCTTCTTCTTCCTTTTATTTCTCTCGGCAAAATTTATATGTGCTGGTTCTGCTTGTGCTTCTACCCTATACCCCATATCCTTATATAAAAACTGAGCGTTACTATTGAGCATTGAAAGGCTCACAGCTAATTAACGCTGCAATAACGTAATTATAGATGCAACACCTACAGGTACGGGTGCAGGAATCTCTGAGCTATGAGCTATGATGCACGCATGCATGCAAGCTATGAGCTATGATGCAACGCATGCATGCAGCAGGACCTTGGTCGCCGAGACTCCATGGCGACCACCGTGACCTACAGTTCGCCGTGCATATCCATGCCAGTTCCACGTCCAATGCACCATCCCCTCCCCCCATGCATTCCCACCCCATGCATTCCCACGTCCAATGCACCATCCCCTCCCCCATGCATTCCCACCCCATGCATTCCCACGTCCCATGCATCCCCTCCCCCATGCATTCCCACATCCCATGTTGATCCCTCCCCCATGCATTCCCACCCCATGCATCCCCACGTCCCATGTTGATTGCATGGCATCCCCTCCCCCATGCATTCCCACTCCCATGTTGATTGCATGTCCCATGTTGATTGCATGTCCATGTTGATTGCATGGCCCTATTCTGTAATACACACAGGTCGCCCGGATGCCATGGCGACCTCCAAGGTCGCCCGGATGCCATGGCGACCTCCAAGGTCGCCCGGATGCCATGGCGACCTCCAAGACCACTGTAGAATTCACCCCATTCCAGCATTAATCTGGGATGTGCACCATATCGGGAAAAAAAAAAATCGAGAACATTATCTCGTGAATTCACCCATCCAAAAATGTTAAATCAAAATCAAAATAAATTCTAACTCATAAAAATTAATATGAATCATGAACTCTGAAAATTGATGCTTCCTCTCTGCAGTGTAGAGACCACATGCAAAATATTCGAAACTGCGGTTGACCATAGCAAGAACAACCGGTCCCGGTTTAGTTATTGCTTGTGTAATTTGTCGTCTGAAAGTAGAATTACAGAGTCCTAAACATGGCGAAATAAAATAGCATAATAGATCTATGATTAAAAATTCACCGACATGGTAAATCACGGCTATACAGGTAATCCATTGAAGGTAAACTCTAGTAGTTTCCCGTTTTCTTTGCAATCGTCGAGTGAAACCAGCCAAACTATCTTCCGACATCTTTTAGCATTGATATGTTGTCGATTTGGCACTATCGACCGTGACGATCAGCATCCCACCCACTGCCACCATCTTGGCCAGGGTGTTCATTATGTTTATGTTGGCCAAAATAGTAAGGTCGAAACCGTTGTTATCACGAAGCAGCAATGCAGTAGTCATTGGAAGAACATCATGGCCTGACGAAACCTTTTGCTTCCGGCCGATCCTCCGTTTACTACGGCCGGCTCCTTCGACAGTTCCTCCTGGCTCTTGCTATTCCCTGTTGTCTGATACCTTTCTTGTGATCCATCTGTCTTCAAAACATCAAACGGAAACAACGGCTTTCATGAGAATTTAAATAGCATATCAAATGCCTCGGCCGAATATCATCTCAGAGGAACTCCGTCGACTTACCCCGAGAAAGAAACCATTGCGCTGTGCATCGAAGCTTTCCGGCATAGTGTCCCCGGAACTCATCTCAGAGGAACTCCGCTTGGAACTGTCACCGTATGACCCAAACGAAGATGAAGCAGAACAAGATGTGGACTCAAATGAATCAATGTCAGCTTGGAACATTTCTTCAAACAGTCTTGTAATTGCTCTAAGCTTTCTTCTCCGTTTTCCTATACGTTCACATTTACAAGAGGAAAAAAGAAACACGTCGTATCAAATATATCTAACTAACATTGGATCAAATTGAATCCATAAAATAATGAAAGAGGGATTACATTAGATTTGTCTGCATCATCATCATATCAGTCATTTCGTTCAGAAAGTCCCATGCCCTGAAATCAAACCATTCCATAAAAACAAATTTTATTCTTTTGCCTGCTTCTTCGCATAAACCTAACCTAAAATTAAATAATTTGAATTTTAGTATATATAACAAAGATACATTTTCGTCGTCGTCAGTGTCATAGAATCCTACGTCGTACAGGAATCTCTTGTTTGCGTCAGACAGAACTGTAGAAAAAGTCAGGTGAAAAACATCATACGTGAAGCTGAATCCAGTAATTCCTACTTAATTATTAAACAAAATAGAGGGAAATGGTAAAGAAATATCTACTTTTGTAACTATAAGAATGCAAATTGCATTGAATCAAGGAATTAATACATATAGTAATAGGAAATTACCAGAATAGGCTTGTTGAATGGCCTGAATTTCTTCTTGGCTTCTTCCACGAATTTGGAATTTTGCGATGCAGAGCAACGATCGGGGTGCCATCTCTGTTCCCATCAAACAATCACAAATTTCAAACTTTGATATTTAGAACAAAAATGTCATCGTAATCAGATAGTATTCAAAGTAAAGTTCTTCAGTAGTCAACAGTATCTAAATTTCTTGCTAACGGAAAACCCAATAAAAAAAAACCCAGAGTTTTTACAGATCGGTTTATCAACTTTGGGTATCATTTCATAGCCGAAAGCAAGAGTTTTAACTGAATTCAGAGCGCGTTCAGGGTATAAATTATTAACAGCACAAATAAACAAATTGAAGTCAAATGCTAAAAATCAAACCAGGGCAAGTTTCTTAAGCAGTCCGGAGCTGTTTGAGTGCATTCCTTATTCACAACCCAACACAGCATAGAAATCAGCGTTCTTCTCTTCTCCACTAGTCATTTTTCAATAAACAACCAGAAAACACAATCCAGAACAAAACCCAAACAAAAACCTTGTTTTGTCGACAAATTATATTGTAACCAACAACAAAACTTACAAGCGGAAACCAAGCCAAACCCACCAATGATCAAATAAACGTCAAAGCAAGACTAGAGTTTTACAACCTAGCTTAGACTATATCTTTGTGAGAACTGCAACACGGAATCCTTGGAATATATTTCCATGAAGCGAAAGGCTGCTGAATGAAAAGAAAGAAAAACAGAGAGAAAGGAATGAAAAGAAGGCAAGAGGGTCTCTGCGAACAAGGGTAAGGCCCACACTCCCAAAAAACTGCTATTTATACAAGTTTCTAGGTGTGCTGCTTTGCTTTTGTATATATATATATATATATATACATACCTGTTTATTCGTATTTAAAAAAAAATTGCGTTAGGGTAGATAAATGAATAAATGAATAAATGAATAAATGAATAAAAGAAGACAGAAGGAATAAAAATAGATTAAAAAAAATAAAATAGACGTGTTTTATATTGCGGGAAATATAAGGTGAGGTACATGAACGGTGGGGATGATTGAAGGGCAGCCTATTTGATATCAGAATTGTGTTTTGAGCATTAAAATGGCTATCACATCAACAAACTGATAAATAAAGTAATTTTCTTATTATAGATCTCGACATGTATTTAACAAATTTCAAAGTTGGTCCAACTCGAACCTGGTTGGAGGGGCCCGCCCATGGCCTTATCGAGTTTTGTCAAAAACCCAATGGCAAGTGCCAAGTGGTTTTTCCTCATTCTCTCACAACTTGATTGAAATGGGGTTTCCCCTTCTCAGGTTTATTTTTATATTTATTAAAATAAGTAGTTGTATATGCATGCATTTGATCACTGTTTAGAAAGATGATAGAAGAAAATCAAATTATTTCTATTAGAACCAGACTAAATAAATTAACTTCTATTCCTTTGTTAATTAAAACTAACCTCTGGTTAATGTATGAATTTGATCGCTATTTAAAAAGATAGTGGAATAAACCCTCCCTAGATCAAGCTTTTATAAACCTTAATTTGAATAAGTACGTCTATATAATGTATATACATTAATCATTAATTAAAAATATTTAAATATATACTATTTTATAATCGTCTAAAAATATTAAAAGATTAATTAATTTATTGCCCTTAGGTTACGTGTAATTGACTAACTAATTTCAAATGTCTGGATTGGATGGATACGTAAGAAAGAAGAGGGTTGTCGGTCTGAGAAGCAGCAAAGTCTCGAAAGTACTGCGGTCCAAACTCCGAAAAATTAACTTCTATTCCTTTGTTAATTAAAACTAACCTCTGGTTAATGTAATTTGATCGCTATTTAAAAAGATAGTGGAATAAACCCTCCCTAGATCAAGCTTTTATAAACCTTAATTTGAATAAGTACGTCTATAATGTATATACATTAATCATTAATTAAAAATATTTAAATATATACTATTTTATAATCGTCTAAAAATATTAAAAGATTAATTAATTTATTGCCCTTAGGTTACGTGTAATTGACTAACTAATTTCAAATGTCTGGATTGGATGGATACGTAAGAAAGAAGAGGGGTGTCGGTCTGAGAAGCAGCAAAGTCTCGAAAGTACTGCGGTCCAAACTCCGAAACAATGAATTATGTTAGAAATGCCACGTGAATTTGGTTCGGGATCACGCGCCTCTTCTTTCTATAACACTGTAGAAGCACCCAGCCGAAGTCACCGAGTTATTATTGCCATCATCTGATCACATCACTCTTGCAATTTGCATGGATTCTGGGTTTTAAAGATTACCATGAATTTGTCCATCAGAGATATTATGGAGAGAGATTCCGGCTCTAGCATTTTGCATGTGCATTTGCTAATGCTACATTTGGAATATATTTTTCCACGTCACTCCCATTACTATTATCTTCCAATAATATTCTAGAATGACATAATATATCTACACCCTTAAATGCTACGTGCCTGCATCACCCAAAATAAATTTAATTTTAGATAATTCCGAATATATATTATTTTTCCAAAAGAAGATTAAAAGGGAAAAGTTCATTTCGTTTAATAGCGCGATGTTGAATGTTGGGACTTGGGACCATCTGATTAATTATCAAAAGTTTTTAAATCATAGAGTTATGATCACAAAATGCAAGGCCAAAATGTAGAACGAAGAGCAGAAACATTCATAGCGTACGAAGGGCTTTAATCCAATCAATTTCCAGTTTGAAGTCACCAGGCCCAGATTCGCACCAGGCACGCCACCATCTGCATTAACCGATAGAGACATCCCAAGTATACGGGACGGATTCATCTCCAGCTTTGCTTCTATCACGTTCCCTCTCCATGTGGCAAATACTGATCCAGAGGCATCTGCAATCATCCACCAATTTCCAAATTTAAGACGCTGAGAGCCAATACGCATTGCAGAAAATTTAAGCAGTCGTGTTTTTGACCGGTGAAATTGATCCCTTACTAGGTACAATATAACAGTAAATAACTAGTAACTCCGTGCAGTGGTTTTTATTTCTTTTGTGGTCATTTATCTAACAGCATTCTAGCTAATTTCCCTATGGCAATTATAAACTTAAATCCCATGTTCATGAGTTCAGTTATATTTTGAATACATCCCATGAGTAAAACAGTATCATCAGTCGCTAAGATATGAGAATGAATTGAGGAATATGAGAGTTGTACCTCGGCGATATACCAGTTGTCTTTGGGAACAAAAACAAAGATTGCCATGAATTATCTTCCATCTGCCCGGAGAATTCACCCAATTCTCTGTATAATCTGAAAAGAAGAAAGTGTACAAGATTCAAAAAGAAAGAAATACATAAGTAAAAGCCTCGACATCTGTTTAGTATTGTTCCATATGATGAAAACAACTCACCGTAGAATATAACATCTCCCGTCTCCTTTAAGCCTTAATGCTATTGTATCATATGCTTCCAAATCAATGAAGCCATCAAACTACCAATACATGAATGAAAGAAACCGGGTCACTAAATGCAAAATGATTATTGCAAAAGAACCAAAGTAATTTACGGTCCTTGTACGTAGAGTGAAATATTCTGCTCTATTCTCAATCCAAAAGAAAAAAAAACATTCTGTTTTATGAATGCAGAATGAAGAAGGCACGTTCCTACATTTGAAATCTTACAAAGAAACCTAAAGTTGGAATGATATTAACTCAGTTAAGACAAATGGAACGAATAAAGCCTATTCATACCATAGAAATTTAACTCCATGAAGCTCTAAAGAAAGGGAAAAAAGAGGCCTAAGTTCCAAAAACAACATTCTAAAGACAGCTAGCGAAGGGATAGTCCAGAATTAGTGTCTTTATGAGACATATCGCAGACTATTATCACTTCAAAATTTGTATTTTAAAGAGGAAGTTTGAAAACAAGCTTTTCTACAACAATCATAAAGCTAAACAGTCTTTCAAGATTCATCCATAGTTGCGCATAATTTGGTGATTAAAGAAAAACCTTTCGGTAATACCTTTTAGTTTTGGGAAAATCCATTCCATCTATCTAAAGTCGGCAGTAAAGACTTAATGATGGCATGAAAACTAATGCTATCTAAAATTGATGTGATAAGAGTAACTAAACCATTACGACCAGGACACTAGAATTTAGGCTCTGCTTAGTATGAAGGATGGAAAGAAGTGAGAAAATTTTGTTAATCAAATGACTAAGATTCATAACAATATCCTACTGTGTAGCTTAAACATTAGATCAACAAATTTTCCTTTCTCATGCCTTTCCATCCATCACGCCGAGCAGAGCCTTTATAAGAAAATGGAATGATTGTTCACCTTCTTGGACCGCATTCCACAAAAGCCGCTCCTAGTTATTTTCCATTTTGTGCCTTCGTTCACATCCAAGGAAAGATTCCCAGAGAAGACTCCTAACAATTTATGCATAATCAGAAATAATAAGTAACTAAAATAAGGAACATGAAGTTGTCATGGTGAAAAGTGTATCAATATCATGGATTCCAGATTAAATTAACTGCACAAAACCATCTCAAGAGTGTCTTTTCAATGAACCCTAATTGACGCAGCATCACACACCAGATAAACAAAAAAATAGCATTAAAACTTAATTGACAATTACCAGTGGATTTAATTGGATCGTCTTTGATCTCCAAAGAAGCCGATGACATCCCTGAAAAGTACAATTATTAGAAAAATGTCGCAAAAAAAAAAACCATTGGACAAGCCATGTTAAGAAATAATATTGGGAGCAGTTTTAGAGTTACCTCCATATTCAGAATCAGAATAAAGATGCCATTTCTTGAGCTCCTCTCTTGAACTGAAATTGAATATGTGTTTCTCAGCGGGAGGGATCCAATCTTCAACGTTCCATGTCAGTGCTTCATTTGTTTTTAACAAAATTCAAATCAATTAGCAAGGGGGAAACAAAGGAAAGGGATCGATTTTTTTAAAATAAGAAATGATAAATCAACAGATTAATGAACTAATATCTAAAGTTCGTACCTTTCTTGGTTGCATTCAGGGAAGCTTGCCATATCCCGCGTAACCTTGACATTTCTTCCTAAATTCTCAAACAAATTTCAAATTTTCAAAAAAAAAAAAAAACGGAAAATCTAGAATAACTTGAATAGAATTAAGCCAAATAGCAGCAGCTAAAACCCGTTGCAGTAGCGGCGTCAGTGACTGTTCACCGTCACGGTTGCTAACAAAAAAGGAAGAAACATCTTTTACTTACTATTTCTTTTCCCTTCTATTTTGGGCCGCTACAAGATTTTGTTGAAGAAACCGGCTTCTCTTTTGGTCTTTTGTAGTGGTTTTACACTCTAAGGACACGATACGAATTCAAAGCCCAAGTATTGTTCTTTTTTTTTTCCTTTTTGAAAAAGAGAGGATTATTTTAATAATTGTTATGTATCATTTAGGGTTTATGGTGAAAAATACTCGACTTGATCCGACCCGAAAAAAAATAATTTTACATTATATATTTAGTAATAATTATAATAATAGCCCTCTATATACTATTTTTCAATTAAATCACTATTTTTATTGAATAAAAATAATATTTTTTATTATTTCGGGTCAGGTCAGATTGGGTTCGGATTTTATCTCAAAAAATCCCATCGGTAGGGTATATATTTTTTGGTCGGGTCGGATCGGTGAATGATATAAATTTCGGGTTGGCTGAAACCCGACCCATGCCCATCCCTAGGTCTGATGAACGAGTCTCCGACATGACTTTTTTGTGTTTTTACTAATAGTTTATCGTCATCGTT